TCAGACGTTTTACACTATCCCCCCCCCCCCCCCCAGTAGCCTTGTGATGTTCACATTCTGTACAGGTCACTACATTCCACTGTCTGTTACATCACAGGACTGTTGATTCAACTGTAGATCTCCCTACATGTTAAGTCTATGTTCGGCAACCTCAAAGGTTTCGGTCAGATTGTGGGCATGGTGCAAGGCCAATGAGACCCTTCTGAAATAGGTATACTACGACCTTAATGATATGTGTAAACCTTAATGATATGTGTAATATAATTCTGAACTTGAGTAGGAGCCGAGACTAGTATTTTTCTCCAAACTATGTTCAAATAAAATAAGTCTTATTTATAAGGCGCTCATTAATTTGCTAAGTCGGACTCCACAAGAAGTAACAGGATTTGATCGGATGGCACAAACCTGCTGCAGGCTCTAATCCCTGCTACAGTCTCTAATCCTTGCTAGTCTCTAATCCATAATGCAGGCTCTAATCCCTGCTGCAGGCTCCAATCCCTACCTCTAATCCCTACTGCAGGCTCTAATCCCTGCCTCTAATCCCTACTGCAGGCTCTAATCCCTGCCTCTAATCCCTGCTGCAGGCTCTAATCCCTGCTGCAAGCTCTAATTCCTGCTGCAGGCTCCAATCCCTACCTCTAATCCCTACTGCAGGCTCTAATCCCTGCTGCAAGCTCTAATTCCTGCTGCAGGCTCCAATCCCTACCTCTAATCCCTACTGCAGGCTCTAATCCCTGCCTCTAATCCCTACTGCAGGCTCTAATCCCTGCTGCAAGCTCTAATTCCTGCTGCAGGCTCCAATCCCTGCCTCTAATCCCTACTGAAGGCTCTAATCCCTGCTGCAGGCTCCAATCCCTACCTCTAATCCCTACTGCAGGCTCTAATCCCTGCCTCTAATCCCTACTGCAGGCTCTAATCCCTACCTCTAATCCCTGCTGCAGGCTCTAATCCCTGCTGCAGGCTCTAATCCCTACTTTAGGCTCTAATTCCTGCTGCAGGCTCTAATCCCTACTTTAGGCTCTAATCCCTGCTGCAGGCTCTAATCCCTGCTGCAGGCTCTAATCCCTGCTGCAGGCTCTAATCCCTACTGCAGGCTCCAATCCCTACCTCTAATCCCTACTGCAGGTTCTAATCCCTGCCTCTAATCCCTACTGCAGGCTCTAATCCCTGCCTCTAATCCCTACTGCAGGCTCTAATCCCTGCTGCAGGCTCTAATCCCTGCTGCAGGCTCTAATCCCTGCTGCAGGCTCTAATCCCTACTTTAGGCTCTAATTCCTGCTGCAGGCTCTAATCCCTACTTTAGGCTCTGATTCCTGCTGCAGGCTCTAATCCCTTCTGCAGGCTCTAATCCCTGCTGCATGCTCTAATCCCTGCTGCAGGCTCTAATCCCTACTGCAGGCTCTAATCTCTGCCTCTAATCCCTGCTGCAGGTTCTAATCCCTGTTGCAGGCTCTAATCCCTACTGCAGGCTATTACTCCTGCAGCAGGCTCTAAAACCTACAACATGATCAAACCGCTCTCCAGACCTTCACCCCTGCAAGCCTTAACCCCCTGCAGTAATAAAATCTCCAGTAATTCTACCTTCCTATTGATTGCGCCAGTTTTGTTTAGTGACGTAAGCTCAGGTTTTAAGTTTTGTTTGTGTGTATTTCTGGTCGTATATTAACGCTAAATCTGCCTACCTGATTGATTGTTTCAGTGGCCCACTGGCAAAAAAACACTTATAGAAATTCTATTTTTAGATTTCTGACATCTCACCACTTACTCTGGGATAAATGACGTCAAACGTCTATATTTAGACGTAAACAATTACGAAAAACCTACATTTTCGCCGGCAAGCGATACTAATAAACGATAACGTGTCGGCATTATGTCTAAATTGAGTCGGCTGCGATGACGCGGTTTCTGCAATGACGTGCGCCCTCTGACGGTGATATTGATACGGCAACGTCTGGGGGAGCATCACTTGCGTAGGTGTCGGATAAACGGATACTTTGGATTCTGGTACTCGTCTGCCTGTCGATAAGGGCGGCTAATTGTCGTCAGGAGAGCGCGGTGCTATGTTTGACAACAGGGCTATTGATCAGCATACCAAAAAAACCACAGCTTTGGTGCGGTGACGAATGTTGGAGAAATCTTGTTCGGTGTCAAGGAAATCCGGATGATAAAGGGGGGAGGGGTATAGAAAGAGACCTGGTTGTCCTTTAGAAGTGGGAGGGGGAGGGTGAAGTAGAGCTCTCCTAGTGATCTTCCTAGGCCTATAGTGTTATGGTCAGATGACGTTACCCCGGTAAAGTTAGGTGCACACCAGCATTATGGAGCCCTAGGGGCGCCTTACGTTAGGTGCACATCAGCAGTGTGGAGATCTAGGGGCGCCTTACGTTAGGTGCACCCCAGCAGTGTGGAGATCTAGGGGCGCCTTACGTTAGGTGCACACCAGCAGTGTGGAGATCTAGGGGCGCCTTACGTTAGGTGCACACCAGCAGTGTGGAGATCTAGGGGCGCCTTACGTTAGGTGCACACCAGCAGTTTGGAGATCTAGGGGCGCCTTACGTTAGGTGCACACCAGCAGTGTGAAGATCTAGGGGCGCCTTACGTTAGGTGCACACCAGCAGTGTGGAGATCTAGGGGCGCCTTACGTTAGGTGCACACCAGCAGTGTGGAGATCTAGGGGCGCCTTACGTTAGGTGCACACCAGCAGTGTGGAGATCTAGGGGCGCCTTACGTTAGGTGCACACCAGCAGTGTGGAGATCTAGGGGCGCCTTACGTTAGGTGCACACCAGCAGTGTGGAGATCTAGGGGCGCCTTACGTTAGGTGCACACCAGCAGTGTGGAGATCTAGGGGCGCCTTACGTTAGGTGCACATCAGCAGTGTGGAGATCTAGGGGCGCTTTACAGACAAACGTCGTGTAGTTTTTTAAAATGTGTTCACTGTTTTTCAATACGATGTATGGCTGTAAATATGGAGTGGAATAGTGTAATGTACCCGGTGTCATCTACACCTAACATATTAATGCTATCAACTACACCTATCATGCTGTCAACTACACCTATCATATGCATGCTGCCACAATGTGTTTGGCCCTTTAGACTGAAACAAACAAAAACTCTTATAGTGCAAGTGAATCTTTCATGTTTTTTTACTGCACAAAATACACAATTTCTTTAAAAAAAAAACTACCTTTGTTTTCTTGTCAAAAAAGAAATATTTCGTTACGACCAAACCAAAAAAAGCGCAATGCAAGCCGCCAAACACCACGGGACGTAATTCTTGCAGCTGCAATACGATGTCACCGAGTTGTGGCACCTGGCGGACCCCATTGACAGTCACCCGCCGCCGACATCCGCGGCGCCGTGTGCGACATGGCGGCCCGCGCGCCCCGCTCTCTGCTCACAATGGCCTGCCTGTCCCCGACTGCTCGTCTTCACCCGCCCGTGCGACAGAAGGCCGCCGGGGACCGCCCCACCCCTCGCTCAACGTCTTGCGGTCGCCGCGAGGGTGACAGAAAAAATTTGTGTGTGTTCAGTCAGCTGTGACCGACATGTGAGCAGCGACTTCTGCTCTGTCGTGTGGTTTCAGAGAAAAAAGGTGGGAAAATGTGGTTATCATAACTTTTGACTGCCAAAAGAACAGCTTGTATTTGAAGGTAATTAATTAAGCGATGCTTGTGGTTAGTTGTTTTTATGTTGATGGTAACTTTTAACTGAGTAGCGATTTTCTTGCTACTCGAAAATAATTGAGCGGTTGTTGTGGTTTAGCATTTAGGATAACTTACGACTGCGGGATCGTTTTCTAAATATTGAATGTACTAGAGTGATTATTACATTTGTACTTTTTCCTTTTCTAAAACTGTTTTTGATATATTTTGGCTCTGAAGCGAATTGCTTGTTTTATTCAACGAAATTATTTATCTGTTTGTTAACTTTCTATCGTGACCGCTCGAGCGAGGATCTCGTTTGAGATCACGTTGTATGCCAGCTTTTTCTAGTTGTTAATTGCAAGTTTTCAACTTTCGTAATTAATAAGTTGATTGAAGTTTGGTGGCTCTGCACTTGATGAAGATCTGCTCCGCTATTTCTTTGATTGCTGTTTAATTATACCGCTTTGACATGGACTGCATGTTGATATGTGAGGTCATGACCTTGGTAATATGTTAGACCTCGACCTTCATGATGACGCGTTAATATGTGAGACCACGACCTCCATGACGTGTTAATGGAGGTTACGACCTTGATGACGTGTTGATATGTGAGACCTCGACCTTGATGACATGCAAATAGAGGTCACGACCTTGAAAGCATGTAAATGCATTAGGTTGTGACACGGTTGGCAATAAATACAATTGTTTTAAATTGTGCAACAAATATCCTCTCGCACTATACAAACATGCTTTCATCATCGTGTAACATTTTTACCTAACGACCTTGAAGGTATTTGGAAAGAAAATCGTACCGATTAAAACTTGTTTCTTAAATTTTCTTTCTGGTACGAACAGTTAATTTATTTTTCTTCAGACAAACTGAGAAGTCTATAGATCTAGTCGTAAACTCGTGTTAGTTCTTTCTATTTTTCACATTTATTGGGAACGAAAAGTCTTCTACTTTAGCTTATGTTTGTCCTATGAACATTGTTTATTTTTGTCAACATTTAGCAAACCGTCTTTACATCTTCGTATAGACATCGGTAACGTAGAGTAGGTTAACCAAACTGATATAAAACGAGTTTTGACATTCCTTCATTTCCTTGCGTGTAGTGATGTAATGCGCCACAAAGGAATACGTCAGGCAGGGATAAGACAGCTCTATTGTCCTGTGTTTAGGATCATGCACACTTTACATTATAAGATACCATCTGCACCGTTCTATTGCTGGAATTACCCGAACTAATCCCACATCAACATAGAGATATTGACCTTTGAACTACACATTTTCTTGATTGAAGATAATCTCTAACAATTTTTTCGTCTCCCCCTCCCCTCCTCCTTTTTACCCCTGACAGATCTTGTTTACCCGTCAACCTTTCTACAGCCGCACCATCACTACCACTTGTACAGGCGACAGCGTATGGCCACAAGATCTACAGGTGAGTACCACAACCGTTACCACCACATCAGCTACCACCACAACACAAGACAGCTACCACCACAACAGCTACCACCACAACAGCTACCACCACAACACAAGACAGGTACCACCAATACAGCTACCACCACAACAGCTACCACCACAACAGCTACCACCACAACAGCTACCACCACAACACAAGACAGGTACCACCAATACAGCTACCACCACAACAGCTACCATAACAACTACCACCACAACAGCTACAACCACAACACAACAGCTAGCACCACAACACACAAAAGCTACCACAACAGTTACCATCACAACACACAACAGCTACCACCACAACAGCTACCACCACAACAGCTACCACCACAACAGCTACAACCACAACACATACCACAACATCTACCATCTAACAGCTCCATGTCACCATAACCAGACAAAGATGTAAGCGTTGAGTTAAACTGTAACACATGCATTTAATTAACACCAAAGCGTGCACCTCTTATATTTACAGACTAAGTTAATCGAAACCACTGGAAAAATAATCTACCTTATATTGAAATCATAACTTGCCATACACTAACAAAGTACATTATATTTCAAGTGTTTGAATAGTAAACATGGGACCACCCACCTAAACACAGCACCATGCCAACAACCACCTTAGCACCACTCACTTAAACATAGGACCACCCACCCACAACTTAGCATCACGCCAACAACCACCATAGCACCACCCACTTTAACATAGGACCACGTGCCTAAACATAACACCCACGCCAGCAACCACCATAGCACCACCCACTTAAACATACACCACCACCACCTAAACATAGCACCAGCCACGTAAACCTAGCTCGACCCCAGCAAACCATAGCACCACCTAACACACCGCTGCAGTATTCACCTACCATAACACCCCACACCCACCCAGCAGAACAAACGCCCCTCCCACCACAACCACGTGACCAGCCATCACACCCCACATACCACACACAGATAACAACGCTTTGATAAAACTGTTGTTATTCCCCTTGTCGCGCTTGTTTACATGTTGTTTTCATCTTGCCCATTGCCACGTTTTGCTAACGTCATGCAACTGTCATGCCACGTTTGTGTCACGTCATGCAACTGTCATGTCACGTTTGTGACACGTCATGCAACTGTCATGCCACGTTTGTGTCACGTCATGCAACTGTCATGTCACGTTTGTGACACGTCATGCAACTGTCATGCCACGTTTGTGTCACGTCATGCAACTGTCATGCCACGTTTGTGTCACGTCATGCAACTGTCATGTCACGTTTGTGACACGTCATGCAACTGTCATGCCACGTTTGTGTCACGTCATGCAACTGTCATGCCACGTTTGTGTCACGTCATGCAACTGTCATGCCATGTTTGTGTCACGTCATGCAACTGTCATGCCATGTTTGTGTCACGTCATGCAACTGTCATGCCACGTTTGTGTCACGTCATGCAACTGTCATGCCATGTTTGTGTCACGTCATGCAACTGTCATGCCATGTTTGCGTCACGTCATGCAACTGTCATGCCACGTTTGTGTCACGTCATGGAACTGTCATGCCATGTTTGTGTCACGTCATGCAACTGTCATGCCATGTTTGTGTCACGTCATGCAACTGTCATGCCATGTTTGTGTCACGTCATGGAACTGTCATGCCATGTTTGTGTCACGTCATACAACTGTCATGCCACGTTTGTGTCACGTCATACAACTGTCATGTCACGTTTGTGTCACGTCATGCAACTGTCATGTCACGTTTGTGACACGTCATGCAACTGTCATGTCACGTTTGTGTCACGTCATGCTACTGTCGTGTCACGTTTGTGTCACGTCATGCTACTGTCATCATGTCACGCACTAAGCACGCATATTCCACTGAAGTCACACTAGTTACACCACCAGACTGTCACTCGTGCCAAAGTGACCCTACCCTGACCGTTTCACCTAATTGTTGAGCTCTCTGAGACAGATGCAATGACACTCCTGTATGTTGGTCATTAAGGACGACCTGGCCGAGTGGTAGAACCCTCGGCTGCTATCCCTAAAGTCTCGAGTTCGGATGTCGGTGACTACACGGCGACCATCAAGCTATCATGTTAGGGAAAGTAGAGACGGTTTTGTATAGTGCTAACCTTCATATGATGAGTTCAAGAAACATGGGAACTCTACTTCCTCTGCCCTAGTTAGGTCTGAAGGGGGTACTTTACTTTTTACTTTATATTTGCCCCTGCATCTAAACAGACCTTGAATCGAGCCCAGCTTCATAGTCATCTTATCGTAAAAATATCAAGGCCCCTCTTAGTCTCAGTTTGTCCAGTATCCGAACCTGCGCGAGCTTGTCCCAAATTGTCCCCACTGACAATGACTATTAACATTTAAAATATACCTCTCCAGCGGTTATCTAAGTATGTTAGTTAGGCCGACTTGTTTCTATTGAAAATGAAGCTCCCTGTCAAAGGAGTTTACAGATAAATCAAACCTACAGTTGAAGTAATAGGACGTTCGTGCCATCGCTCCGATGAAAGCCCGTCATTGATTGGCTAGATTGGCCGTCACATGACCGCCATTGTACTCCGCTGATCTCACACTTGACGCCGTGGTGAGCCGGTGTTAGACCTACTCAAGGGGGATAATCCATTGTTTAGCCTCAGCCTTTGTTAACTTGACCGGTATTTAACTGAGCATTAGAGGGAAAATACTCTGACACGATCAGTCTGGTTACACGTCTGCACAGTAATTAAATAACCGAGGTTGTGGAATAGTTACAACACAACCTAGTACTTTATTTATTTTATGTTTTATAAGAAAAAAAAAACACAACAAATGTCGATAATGGTTTATGTAGGTATAAGAGTATTGTGGATGAGTCATTGGTTTAAAATGTATTAGCATAAATACTTAATTTTTTTAAACATTAGAGTATATAGATGATACTTCAAAGCGTATGTAGCTCCTGCACATCTGGCAAAAAAAAAGTGTACATAGAGCCTTTGTGAAAATGTATTGGGAGTTTTAAACTAGTTAGATACATCTGCTTTACACAACTCCCTGAGACTCGTCTACCTCATGTGCTAGCTCTTGCGGCTATTTTTAGACTTTGTTTAGATACTCACCAGCTTTCTCCCCCTTTGACCCCATTTTGATGACGTATCACGCATAATCTCGCGGTGTAACACTCGCCCGAAATCTCCACGATTCTTCCTCAGGTTTTAAAATGTGTTTCCTTGTTTTTTTTCCCACGAAACAATTTTTCTTTTCTTCCATTTTCTTAAAATTAGTTCCGTATCTATCTATCCAGTGACTGTAGCGGCTATTTTAGTCTTTAAAAAATTAAAGCAGCATGAAGTCGTTAATTATAAACTGTTCTAAACATTATTTTATGTTTCTTTCGATCTTTCAAACTGGAATTGTGTTTTATTTTTAGAAGGGCGTGTGTTGAAGTCGAGACCGCAGACGGTTGGTGTTTATTTTGTGTTCAAAGATTACCCGGATGTGCGTGCAAGTTATGCGGGGCAACAGCATTATCGTTGCGGGGCGGAGAGCGCTCACTATTTAGAAGACCTCAGTTTTGGGTGGGCGAAAAAAAATGGGGGGGGGGGGGGGAGTGAGTGGAGGTGAGAGGGGTGATGGAGAATTAAGTGGGGGTGGGGCGGTAGTTGATCCTGTGGGTAACAGCTTCTATGTGAAAAATCTAACTCACAACAAAGCACGGGGAGGGGGTGGGGGACGGGACCACGTGACTTGAGTGAGGAGATCTCATCAGCGAGGTGAACTTGATCCGGGCAGGGAAAGATTACGTAAGATTTAACCCCGTGATACTCTAGCACATTCTCCGTTCTGCCCCCTCCCCATCCACTCACCCTTTATCGTATCTATCTCGTTTCTTTAGACAGCGATTTAGTCGTGGGTTCAAAACCTACATTTGTATCTTTATTTACTTACCTTTTTACGTCTTTATAAATATTTTTTATATTCTATCCAAGGCGCTGTTGATTAATTTTACCACGCCCCATTGTTATAAGGAGGGTTGAAGGTTTGGGCGGGGCTTACGTTACTGTTATGATTAGGTTTGTTTAATCCTTGGGCTAGTATATACAACAATACGTTGTGATAAGTTCCACTGTGGTAAGGCGGATACAATGGAACCATGTTAACTTGAGAATTCTGAATTCAGCGCCACTTGGGTTTTAAATGGTAGACGTGGACATAACGTTAGTTTTATGGTAGCGGCTTGCTAGCTATATGCTCAGTTCTAATTTCCACAAATACAACTTCTAACATCTAGTGGAACAATACACCTTCTCACTTTTATTGACACCACTATATCTTCTCTAGTTCTACTGACACCATCTCCTAATAGCACCAATACACCCCTTGTATTAACACCAACACCAATTGACCTCACCACTATTGATACCGACGCTGATGTCAGTACAGAAAAGTGTTCACCACAATGGCGGCCAGTTGATGCAGCCCGCACTTGTATTGCATCTAGCTCGCTACTTTAAGCCGGGATACAGTTAGACAACATATTTCCGCCCAGCCCATATTTCCGCCTAGCCCATCCACTTTTCAGGCACGATCATCGGGTAATAGTGAGGCATGGGGGGGGGGGCGGGTTCCGGTTCTAGCGTGAAAAGGAGGGCCTGGGGTTCCGGTACTGAGGAGGAGGGGAGGGTGCGGGAGTCTATGAATAGCTAACACAGGGCGGAGGGGTGTGCGCGGAGCGGTAATTCGCCCCGATAAGAAGATTTAACCGTAATTATTGCAAGCTGTTACCGCGGCATGCAAGGGGTTAAATGTAATCTTTGTTGTTGGCTGAGAGGGGAGTAGATTTGGCAGTGAGTAGAAACTGGGGCGCGGGTGGAGGGGTCGGGTGAGCAGCCGCGCGCTGATCGCACTATTGCCTTACATACTGCACGTGCTAGATAGGGGAGGAGGGGCGGGTGGGGGTCAAGTTGGAAAATTATTGTTAATCGGAT